CCCCTGCGCCGCAGCAGCCCCGGCCGAGGCACGATGCCCACGGGCATCAGAACTGGAGGGCAGGGGCTGCCTGGAGAGCTGGGCACCCCAGACTGCGCCGAGGGCTGCGGGCATCAAGCCGGGGGCATCACTGGGGTGCTTGGGACACACTGGATGGGACGCACGAGCCCTGCGGGCTCCAGCTCGTTACCCGCTGCGGGCTGTGACGGTGGCAGTCAGGGGAGCGCAGGGAGGGCCAGGTGCTGCCGTGGCCTCTGGCAACACGCAGGGCTTGAGGATCTATCGCCTCATTCTGTGCAAAATGCAGCTGCAGCGTCCGTGCGCCCGGGCCCGCGGCCACCGCGCCGAACGTGCCGTGTTCCCTTGTAAACGCTGCTGCGGGGTCGGCTCTGCTTCCCTGGCGTTCCCAGCGGCGACGCTCCCGCTCGGCTCCAAGGCTGGCGCTTTGTGCACTCAGTAGCTGCAGTGGTGGGTTAATACTTGTTGCTTGACAACCTGCTCAAGTGGACTGGGAAGTGTTTTGCTGCTGGAAGATGGGAATATATCACCATTCGCTTGATAGGAAGCACAGTGTTGATTTAGTTTTTGCCTGTACTGCTATTCCCGCTGTTGTCTGGCCCTGGGCCTGGGCTGCTCCTGGGATTTCGTCTGCTCTTGTTGCAGTAAAACCATTTTTTAAGCTCTCCTCAGCTCTCTGCCCACGGCAGCTGGTGCCGTGATGCCTCTTATCAAACGTTCGCATTTCCTAACGGCCAGTGCTTCAGCTTGCTATCGGCTTTCCCTTCTTTCGTTGCTGTAAATTTTTATTGCCTCCTGAAACCACTCCTCGCTGGGAGGGTTTCTAACCCTGGGCCTTTCCCATGGACGTGGGAATGTTCCTTGCATTTTATGAAGGGGAAAAAGCCATTTTTAGCCAACTCCCAATTACTGCTCCTTCCTCTGGGTCGGGATCGCGGAGCTGGGGACCGGCGGGTGCTCCCTGTGCTCGACGCTGAGCCCGTCCTCGTGCCGCAGCTTCCCGGAGCGGCCCTGGGTAGAGGCGGCAGGAGGGGGGAGCGGCAGCTCCCTCCGTGGATCTGTGCCGCGTTGGCCGGGCACGGAGGGCAGTGCCGTAACCGGATCCGCGTCCCGGGCCCTGGCCGGAGGATGCAGCGGCTCAGCCCCGCGCTGGCATCTCCCCGGGCCAAGTGCGTGACTTGCCTGTTTGCACCGCGCTGGGGCTAAATCTGGCTGCGAGCGAGGACAAACACGCCGGGTGCCGGTGGCTTTGCGGCAGCGAGAGACCAGGGCTCCGCTGAGCCCCGCCACGTGTCACTGCTGCCAA